CAGTTCAAATTCCAGCCCCGGAGTTTTGTATGACACTCAATGAGAGTGTGTGTGTGTGTGTGTGTGTGTGTGTGTGTGTGTTCCAAATCCCAACAGCATGGAAAATAGAGGAGCAGGGATTGTGGCGTGACCACGGCCGGCTGCGGAATGCTTTCTCCCTCTCTCTGTCCTTGTGGCTCTCTGACAACCCAAACACACATGCCTTTTTTTTTTTTCCTTGAGAGAGAGGGGTTTTTTTTTGCCATAGGGCACATATGCTTACCAGAAAGAGACAGTAAAGAAGAAATCACCACTTCCCCGGAGGGTAGGGGATGGCCACGCTGCAATCCCTCCTCTCAGGATCTTAAGCACGCACGCACATGCGCCCGGGGTGAGTTTAAGCCACCGGGTCTGGAACTCGAACCACTGTCGACGACATGGGAGTCCAGCAACGTAGCTATTACGCCATCCGCTGGTCCGTTTTGGAGAAGTTTTTGCTATAGGGTTGCATGCACTCGCCAGAAAGACAGATACAGAGAGACAAAGTGAAAAATCGCCCCGCAGGGGGATGACCACGCTGCAATCCCTTCTCCTCCATCCTCCCCTCAGGATCTTGGGCACGCACGCGCACGTGCCCGGCGTGAGTTTAAGCCACCGGGTCCGGGACTTGAACAGTGGTCGACTACGTGGGAGTCCAGCCATTACGCCAACTGCTGGTCCTGATGCCCTCTGTCTTATAAACAAAGCAGAAAGCAAAAAAAGAAAAAGAAACTAAACAAACGTAGAAAAATGATTTGCAATATCCAATTGTTTTAATATGTATTTTTTTAATACATGTGGTTTTAACTTATGGAGTTTATGTGCTTTCTTCTTTCACCTCCCTTTGCGGGTGCCGTTTCTTTTTTGAAGAGATGTGGGCATGGGGTGGTGTTCGCTGTGTGGTTACATAAATGAGAGAGTCAACAGGAGAAAAGAGATCAATTTGCGCTCTTGTGCTGGGTTCTCCGAGAGCCCTGCTAAGCCCTAGGAGGCTGCGTTTTGCATGATGGAGCACTGCTGCCCCCTGGTGGACAGCTGCCCTATCTACACCTGGGCCTTGATGACTACTTAAAACCTTTTGCTCCCTTTCAGAACGAAGTCAATGCCATCAAGTGGGATCCTTCTGGAATGTTGCTAGCATCCTGCTCCGATGACATGACATTAAAGGTAACACCTGCATCAGACGGGATGGGTACAACGCCATTCTCATTCTCTTTAAGGACTGCTTTGTTTGGGGCCCACACGTGGCCTGGTGGTGAAGGCCTTAGTCTCCCACATGGCTGACCATAGCTCCAGTCCTGGGCTTGGTGGCTGGCTTCCCCACTCTCTCGCTAGTCAAATTAAACACCTTAATTAATGAAATCATTCTTTTAAAAAAAAAAAAATAAGAAGCGGTGTGTGTTCGCTCTCACTTCCCCCCTTGCTAACTAGAAGGTTAGCTCGCATCCCGTGAACTGACTGATCCAGCAGGCCCTCCCACCCTCAGCCGTTCCCGCCCACCCCCAGCACTCCCCAGGCTGCAGCAGCTTGCTTGCCGGCTGCGGTCGAAACGCAGCGTTTGCCCATGCCGGTGCCACTGTGTCCCCTAGATCTGGAGTATGAAGCAGGACACCTGCGTGCACGATCTCCAGGCTCACAGCAAAGAGATCTACACCATCAAGTGGAGTCCCACCGGGCCGGCCACCAGCAACCCGAACTCCAACATCATGCTCGCAAGGTAAAGGAGGGCCGGCAGGCGCGGCTCCCGTCTTGGGTCCTGGACGGGGCTGTGCTCGCCAGGGCTGAGCTCCTCAGCCAGCGAACCCCTCTCCTACGCTAAGAGAACTAACAGGACTGTGCTCGTGCGAAGAGAACGAACTCCTTTGCCAAGGCGAAACGGAAAGAAAGGTTTTGTCTAACGCGAGACTGCTAGGGTAGATGTGCTAATTAAGCCCGCATGAAGTACCTCTGAAACTCCATAACCAAAATCCGTATTTCTGTCTTAGAAGGACGCAAGGCCAGTGTGGCCAAGGCCCTCCCAGCCAAACGCAGTGCTAGCATACTCACCAGGGCAGGACCGAGGGAGGCGGGGAGGCGGCCGGTAGGAGGCTGTGTCCGGCATCCAGGCTTCGAGCACTTTGGTCTGGTGAATGCTTTTGTTACGACAGAGAAAGGAAACTCAGAGTGTAGCTTGGATTTGGGGCCTTGTGATTGACATGGAAACGATCCTCCGGCTCTCTCGGTGGGATGATGTCCCCATAAAGCCATCGTGAGCCGAAGAGGTGGGCTGCAAGTCGTCGCTTAGCCTGCTGACCCTGGAGGGCTCAGAACACTGGCACGAGCCCACCGTTGTGGGCTGTGAAGAAACCAAAACGTTTCTGTAGCAAAACCAGTTTGTACTTTGATAGCATTTCTCTGCAGATCAGAAGGTGTCCCATTTTTAAACTGTAGGTGTAGTTTGAGACGTTTGGCAAACACGCAACCTGAGTATTTACCAGTCCTGTCGAAAGAGAACGCAGAAACACAGGAGTACGGACGTCCGCCCCACCCCTCAGTCTTTGATGTGCATCTGTGGCTTTGTTCTCAGTGTATTTCAGTTACATTTCAGAAAAGCATAAGGTCACCTGTTGCTTCTTCTTCTTCTTTTTTTTCCTTTTTCGAGAGGTTTTTGCTACAGGGCGCGTGCACTCGCCAGATAGAGACAGAGAGACAGAAAGCGAGAAATCACCCCCCAGAGTGGATGGCCATTCCACAATCCCTTCTCCTCCATTCTCCTCTCGGGATCTTGGGCACGCACACACATGCGCCCGGTGTGAGTTTAAGCCACCGGGTCTGGGACTCGAACCACGGTCAACTACGTGGCAGTCCAACGACATAGCCATGACGCTAACTGCTGGTCCCTTCTATTGCTTCTTGACACATAAAAACTAGGGCGTGGGCCAGCCTGTGGCCGGGTGGTCACGTGAACTGACCCCATGTGGCTGACTGTGAGCTGCGGGGCGTGGGCCAGAGGCTTAAAACATGCTGGGGACGTGCATGTGCCGAGGTCCCTGCAAGGACGGGGAGCTGGGGGAGAAGGGACTGCACTAAGACCATTCTCTGTACGGGGTGCTTCCTCGCCTCTCTCAGATGAACACACGTCTTCTGGCAAACTGGGGGGGGGGTCACTTAGGAACTGAGGCAGCTGCTGTGAGATCTTCCGCATCGCTGAGACACAGGTTTGCGTAATGATGTTCTCTCTCCTGCCCTCCCAGCGCTTCGTTTGACTCCACGGTGCGGCTGTGGGACGTCGAGCGAGGCGTTTGCATCCACACACTCACCAAGCATCAGGAACCTGTCTACAGTGTAGCTTTCAGTCCTGATGGGAAATATTTGGCCAGCGGCTCTTTTGACAAGTGTGTTCATATCTGGAATACTCAGGTAATCCCCGCATCCCTCCTCCTAAAGCCCTTCCCCAAGAGGGTGCCCAGAGAGTCGCATTTTCAGTGACCTGGGCGCAGAGACAGACTAGGGAATTTGTGTTCAGGAGTAGGTGACCTCAGACGGGGGGCGAGCCCATGGGTCTTCCACATGGAAGACCTTGGAGAGGTTTTGGCTATAGGGCACGTGCACTTGCCGGAAAGACAGAGACAGAGAGACCGGAAGCGAGAAATCACCCCCCGGGAGGATGGTCATGCCGCAATCCCTTCTCCTCCATTCTCCTCTCAGGATCTCGGGCACGCACGCACATGCGCCCAGCATGAGTTTAAGCCACCGGGTCCAAGACTCAAACTGCAGTTGACTACATGGGAGTCTGGCGACAGGTCCGGAACTCAGACTGTGGTCAGCCAGGCGGGAGTCCAGCACCCTTGACCACCATGCCACCTACCAGCCTCAGCCTAATAGCATTTACCAGTGTTGATTTGTCCTATTACTGGGCTTATGAGGAGACAGGATTTGATCGCAATCCCTTCTCCTCCACTCTCCTTTTGGGATTTTGGACTTGCACGCACATGCTCCCAGCGTGAGATTTAAGCCACTGTGTCTGGGACTCAAACCATGGTCGAGTACATTGGCATCCAGCAACAGAACCACTGTGCCATCTGCTGGTCCCTCTTAGTTTGTTTTTAATTCCCGGTAGACATGGGTGCTCACCAGAGAAGAGACACAGAGAGAGAGGGTGAGAGGGAGAAAGCATCCCTGTTGGGCCTGGTCGCATCCGAATCCTTTTTTCCTCTAGTTCTCCATTCTGTCAGGGTTGTGGCAGTGCGGTTTTCACGGCTCTGGGGCCTGGACTCAAACCCTGGTCAGCCATGTGGGACTGGCTTCCTTTGTGTAGCACCTAACCCTTGTGCTACAGGACTGGCCCCGTGTATAAATTTTTCATCGTATGTATTATTTCACTTTTGCCTTTTGAAGACCCTATGTACATTGAATCATTAACTACGTTAGAGAGCCATTTTATCCTCATTGCTGCTGGGGGCAATAGGGCTTGTCGTGTTTATTGAAGTGCCCACACCTGGACGAGATTAAGTGTGGCGTTTTAAGGGGCTGGGAGGCAGGGGCGAACACGCTCAATGAGCTGAGGGAGCAGAAAGGAGGAGAGAAGAAGGAAGGAAGGTCGGCCAGTTGGTCTCAGGTGGCCCCAGGCCTGCAAAGTCTCAGCAGAGCTAAGAAGGAGTCTGCAAGCCAGAGGTACCCACCAGCCAGTCTGCCTCTCACCGGAATGGCCACCCTGTCCCCTGGCTGCCATCAGTCAGGGAAACAGCATGGCCCCTGCCCAAGTGTAATGGGGCTTCGCAGGCAGCAGTGGGTCATTCCTGGGAGACGTGACCACGGCCAGCAGAGCATCCCCTGCACGTTCTCAGTTTGCCCTTGCTTGGAAAGCCTCCAGGCGGAGTGCTGGGTGCGCAGAGGAGGGTGTCGTGCTGACCCTCCTTCACCCCCTGACCCCACTGGCTTTGCCTTGCAGAGTGGAAGTCTTGTGCACAGCTACCGAGGCACCGGCGGCATCTTCGAGGTGTGCTGGAACGCCCGAGGGGACAAAGTGGGAGCCAGTGCCTCTGACGGCTCTGTAAGCAGCACCCTGGGCTGGCGCGGGGTGGGGTGGGGTGGGGTGTGGGCGGGAAGGTGTGCAGCCTTGCAGCTGGTGCCTGCACACAGTGTGCGGGGCTGAACGCCTGGCCTAGGGCCCACATCCGTGTCCGGAAGCATGTCGGGTTGCACTGCCTTGGGAGTTGCTGCTGGCCCTCGTGGAGGAGCCAGGGAAGCTGCCCCAGCAAAGGAGGACCCAGCCCACAGGCCACGGTGCTGAGGCTGAGGAGCTCACTCCTATCTCATCTCTGTGTTCATGCCCCCAGCCCGGGCCCCTTTGATCTCACAGTGGGCCGTAGCCTCCCCGCTGAGATACCAAGATTTTGGATTCCTCCTGGACCTGAGGTTGCTGTGACCTTTAAGGCAAGGGGCATTATGGCTGAGCAGCCGAGCAACGGCCTGGTCCTCACTTAGGCCAGAGTTACCTATCACCCGCCCTGCTCTGTGCGCCTGGGGTCTATCATTCCTGCAGTGGCAGCGTCCACCCTTCGGGCCTAGCACCGCGTGGGACCCGGGTTTCCCCTGTGTGCTGCGGGCACGAGTTCGGTTGGCCAGGTGCTCAGGCACTAGCCTGCGAACAGAGCTTTGCTGACACGCCGCCGCTGCATTCCGTGGGACTTCACGTGGGGCCTTCAAAACGGTTGTAGAAAATGTGTGTTATGAAAAAACTATGCACGGAGTTCAATGCTTTTTGTTCTGTACTAAAAATAACTGGTACCGCAATTTCACTTTTCCACAAACTTTTTGAAGTGCCCTTAATTCACAAAACTCAGAAGCGGCTGGATTTGGCCTGAGGGTCCTAGTGCGTCAGCTTTGGCCCTGACAGCCTCGCTGTCAGAGATGACAAGTGCTTTCTCTGTCCTTCCAGGTCTGTGTTTTAGATCTGCGGAAGTAAACACAAAATATTATAGAAAAAAAGAATTCTAATGGACCAGCCGTGAATGTGTGGGGTCGCAGCACTGTTAAACACAATTCTGTCAGCTCCAAAACTGTACAAACGTGACTTGCGTGAGAGTGTACTTTGAAATCAACTCATCCCCGGCCACAGGAGTCTCTATTTTTTCGTAACCTTCATCGAGAAGTTTAAGAAAAACAAACAAAAGTATACATATAGTCATGTCCAAGGGGGAAAGAAGGAACGGTTTCCACAGAGGATGTCCAGCCCGAGAGCGAAGCCACCAGCTTAGGGACACCGCTTGGTTTCCACCCAGAACAGGCCCTGATGGCTGAAAGGAAAAAGGAAAGAAGAAAAGCCGCGTCAAAAAAAAACCAGGCAAAACGCTGTGATACACCAAACGGAGGAGAACAGTCGTTCCTCCCGTGATTCTTTTTTCTTTCCCCTCACAATTTGGACACTACAGTTTCTCTCGCAAAGGATGTTCAGAGACCAGTTTGTACCCATGAAGTGCACAACTTTGTAATCCCAACACTTTCTATTTTCTAGAACCTTCTTTGTTCGGTGGTTTTTCTATCAGCTGGAGTCCTGTCGTCTGGGGGCCTTCCGTCTGAGATGGAAACTGTCGTGGTTTGTCACTTCTTTCCTGTCGTTCCTTGTCTCCTCCGCCTTCTTCCTTTGTCTGGTGTGGTCTTGCTTTTCAGTGCACCGTCAATACACACAGCCACGTGGACACGAGGACAACATCTTTGATGGACAGCTCTCTCCCTCCCTCTCTCCTCCCTCCCTCCCTGCATCCCTCGCTCACTCTCTGTCCCTTTCTCATAGTTGCTTCAGATCTTAGGTCTCAAGGGCACTTTCGGCGCATAGTAAGTGCTTTATGTAAGAAGGCAGGGCAGGGGGACTTTTTACAGGAGAAAAAAAAAATGACTTATAAGAGAAAGAGCCTGGAGTATTTTTGGAAAAAAAAAATAATATTTTTATGTTAAAACAATTTTAAAATCCTAAAATGGCCATCAGACATAGAGAGCTTTGTGTGATTCATATTTTAAGAAGAATTTAAGAAGACACAGGCAGGGTCTGAGATAGATTTCCCCTTTCCCCTCAGCTTCATGAAAGGCGGTTAGGAAACCTGGTGGAAAAAGGTCAGTTCTGTGGAGCAGATGCCAGCTCGTCCTGCAGCCCCGGAGGAGGACGCAGCTCTCTGGTTCAGAACACATTGCATCCTTGTGTGCATTGCCCTTAGCAGCCACAGGGAAGAAGTGAAAGGATGACATGCACTCTGACCTGGAGGAAGCAGTGCAGCACCGTGAGGTACTGAGGCCACCACAGCCAACAGCTGGGCTCCACATCACCTGCTAGCTGCAGCCGTCTCAAAGCAGGAGAATCCCCAACGGCCATTTCTCCGAGAGCTTGCTTAGCGCAACCTTGCAGAGCTGACGCAGAGGCTCCAGGATGTCACTGGGTCTACCGATGACACACATGATTGCGATTGCGGAAGGACAGGTTCAGTCCTGAAGGTGAATTCTGTAGATAGAATGTCACTAATCATTTTTGCAGTCTTTATCATTTCTTTCTCTCACAACGGACTAGGAGAAAGATTATTTTAAAGAAAAATAATCTTTTTACTGTTTTTAAAAAATTAAACAAGGCTTTGTGTTCCCAGGAGAGTTTGGTTTCATTTGGATCAGGCACTTTGTAAACTTGTTGGCATATCCTGACGCTGACTCAGTTTTTAAATTAGCAAGGGGGAATGGACCCACAGATAAGGCCTCTTCTCTTCTCTGGTTTTCCTGCGGGTGGGCATAGGAAGGGCCTGCTGTTGGCCAGGCCTGTAGAAGCCGCTGAATTGGCTGGCAGTTAGATAGGGTTTAGCCTGGTGTGTATTCAAATGCGGAGATGTATTATTCAGAGGGTTTTGCCCTTCGTGGAGCTGAAAATCAACCATCAGGAAGAACTAAAAGGCTTCAAAAGCCAAGGGTACATTGATCATTCTCAGATAGTTCTTTGGCCTCCACTTGGGCGTATGAATTATTCACGCCCCAAAAAAGACCAAAAAGTGCTCAGTTTCCGCCTTGAGTAATTCCATCCTTGTTCGAGTTCTGTTATCTAAAGTTAGCAAAGGAGGAGAAGGTGATGCGGCATCCCCACGCCCGGTTGAAGAGAGCCAGGTGTCCCTAGATGGGTTGATGACGTCCTGTCCAGAGACCATGTGAGGTTTGGGATGTAGTTTGTTGGGGCCCAGTTAAAAACTCTGCAACCCTCCTGGATGAAAACTCGCTCATCTGCCCAGAGCATCAGCGGGGAAGGGCCAGCGCGTGGTCGGCCTGTGTGGGACAAGCCAGGAGCGACCGTGGGGCAGTGATGGGCGGGGAGTCCCTAGGCCATCTTCACAGGGACGTCCGCAGCCTGGGTCTCGCCGACCCGCCGGCTTCAGGCTCTTGGTGAATCCGAACCACACCTGAACTGGGAGGCCGGAGCTTCTGTCAGAGGCCCCAGGCTCGAACCCGGTGCTCGGTGAGCCTGAGAGTCACCCCTGGCTTCTCCCACCAGCCGTCATGGAGGAGCTTCTGGGACCTCGGCGTCAGAGCTCAGTGCGCACGCGCGCACATCCGGGTTCTCGGGTTCTCAGCCAAACATCGCGAGAGCACAGCTAATCATGGCGCCCCCCATGACTGCCGCCATCTTTCATGCCTCTTGCCTGCAAGTCATCGCGTAGCCCAGGCCTAGGCTTTGCATCGCTTGATCGTTCCATGTTGTTTCCAGCTCGGGAAGGGTAAGGAAGTCGGAGTGACCAAACTGAACCTGGAAAGCAGCACCCGTCGATGCTTCTGGAAGCTCGGCCACCGCGCCCTAGCACACGCCCCGGGGAGGGACGCTGCCCACAGGGGACCGGAAGGGCCGGCGGTGATGGGGTCGGGCCCTCTGACCCCGCGCACACCTACCCTAGAACTTGGCTTTCGTTTTGTCTCTCTAGAACACAGATCCTGGAGCCCAGTGAAGTGCACTTTGTCCAATGTAAGGGTCCGCTTCGTTCCTTGTTCTTTTTCTTTTTTTTTTTTTTTTTAAAACCTTTGGTTTTACTTTTTTTTTTTTTTTTTTTTTTTTTTAATTGTGTTTCTTGTCAAATGCAGAAATGTTCCTTCCGCCACTCACTGAAGTTTTGAATTCTGGCTTCTGCAGTTTTTATTGTCTGTGTCAGACGTACAGCCAGACTTGGTTCTCTGTCAGCGTTTTCCAGATTCTGTTCCAACAACATCGACGCCCCCCACCCCCCATCCCGTTTTGGTTTCCTCCTCCTCCCCCCACTCACCCTCACGCTCTTTGGAAAACAAACAAAACAAACAAACAAAAAAAAAAAGAATCACCTTGTGTGTCGTAGCTCATTTGTTTCAAGAGAGAATCAACAGATCATATTCAGTGTCTTGAATAAATTGCTCTATTTTGATATTAGAGAACTTGGTGGGCGTGTTTTCTTCGTGTCCCTGGGTAATCCTTGGGCCCACGCAGACACTGGCGAGAGAAGAAAGAACTCGGCGTTTTCCCATAAAGAAAGTAACGAGTGTGCCTCTTCCAGGATGGCTCTGGTAAAGAGGGAGAAGGGGACTGAACACCAGGCTGTGGGGGCTGCTGGCATCCTAAGAGGTGGCCCCACACAGCCACAGGTGTTGTAGCACGTTTCCTTTTCATCATTTTTCTTCAGGCTGGCTGTTGGTAGGGGGTGTCAAAGTGCATATTCCCTTGGTTCACTAGGAGTGCTGAGTTCAGGGATTAGCCCTGAGTAATTTGAAGGACAAGGGTGACTTCTGCAGGATGCAGGTTAACATTTAGCAAATAGGTACGGAAGGGTGGCTCCATGCCAGGCTCTACCTCGGGTTTTCATGTGTGCCACTTACTTGGTGGGATCATATTTAATTAGTGCCTGGCTATTGCTGTGCAGACAGAGAGGCAGGTCAGTAGGGGCCTTTGCTCTTGGTCTAAAGTTTCATGGTGCAAAGCAAGCCAGGGTGTTGGTTCCCTCTAAGCCTAGCTTGTTGCTGCAGTAGAACAAAGCACAGGGCACGGACCATCCTGTTCCCTCTTAGCTCCGTGCTGCTGTGGATAATTGTCAGGAGAGACCCAGGAGTGCCTGTCGCCACTGCCTATGACACAGACTCCTGGAGGACTCAAGTTCAAGTACAGTGTTGAATTCATGTGAAGCGAATGTTGCCTCCTGTAGAGAATATGTATCCTGCTGGCCTGCAGCCTGATGGTTAAGGTAGCTGGACCCCACGTAGCCGACTGCAGTTCAGACGAGAACCTGGCGGCCTGAAAAACACGCTGGGTACGTGTATGTACATGTGTGTGGGCCAAAATTCCAAAAGGGAAAAAGAGAGGAGAAGACCCCACAGAGTGCTTCTCACTTTCCTTCTCTGTCTCTCCCTGGCGAAATCCAAGTTAAAAACAGACAATGCCTACCCTGTCTCCCAGGGTCGTCTGGGAGAAAGCCTATTTAGTTTTGTTTCTTGTTTTTAACCTCTGCCAAGTTGACCCACCATGCTCCCAGAGAGTGGGTTTGTGGTGAAGTTCTGAGCACCCTGAGCTCGGCTCCAACAGCTGTCGGAAGCTCCTGGGAACCAGCTCGTGGATATACTCTGGACAGGCAGCCAGGCATGTGACAGTCCCGCAGCATAGGTACACATGTGATCTGTAGCTTTGGTGACTTTGCAGGAAACCTGGTGAAAGATGGTTTTGAAAGAGCTTTTTCTTTCTTTCTTTTTTTTTTTTTTTTAAGAATTAGTTATTGAATTTTATTGTTATTATTTTTTAAATTTTGCTACAAGCCATGCACTCACTAGAGAGAGAGAAAGAAAGCTGCCGGGTCCAGAACTCGAATCATGGTGGGCCATGTGGGAGTCCAGCGCCCTAACCACCGTGCCTCCTGCTGGCCCCTGAATGGGCTTTGTTAGTCTGCTGTGGAAAAGTGATGGGGGCTACGTGATTGACCAAGATTCACAGGGCTTTCATCTTCAGATAGACTTGTTGACTGCAAGGGTTGGCCTGTGGCGCAGCCATTAAAAAAGAGCTTAATCCCACATGACTGGCCATAGTTCAAATCCCAGCCCCAGTGGTGGGCTGAAAAACATGTCAGGTGCATATGTGCGCATGTCCAAAATTCCAAAGGGTGGATAAATGCAGACGGGATTGTGGTGTGACCACAACTCGTCGGGAGGTGTTTTCTCCCTGTCTCTGGTGAGCACATGTACTGACCATCTTTTAAAATGTTTTGCTCCAGCAATTCTGTGTTTCCCTTTGTCCACTGAGACGCCTACTTCGTTTTACTGATTTGGGAAATCCAAGCTTTGACTCACTTAACAGATAACCTTTTTTGGTGTTTATTCATTGCCCCATCATAGTGCTTTACCCAAAGGATGTTTGAGGAGACGGTTCTGGTGTTCTCACAAATGTCCTCTGTGTACCTGGTGGTGCTGGCTGTTGATTACCACGGCTGGAAGCCTGGAAGTCACTCCGAGACGTGCATGGAGATGGGAACCAGCAGGTGGCGTGGTGGTTAAGGTGCTGGGCACTCCCACATGGCTGACCACGGTTTGAGTCCCAGACCTGGTGGCTTGCTTTCTCACTTTCCTTCCCTCCCTCTTCCCCCCGCCCGTGTGTGTGTGTTGGGGGGCGGGGAGGTCAAATTAAAATGAATGAATGAATAAAAATTAAGGGGGGAAAAAAAAGGCTGTGCATGGAGAGGGCTAAGTGCACTGGCTTGGTGGCACGCTGGTCACGTGCTGTTTGAGTGACATTGGATGTGTGTGGAATCATGATTGCGTTCCGTGACTGGCCCTTACACCAGGCATGAGAACCACAATCCGGGCTGGTCCGGCAGGCTGCGAAGGGTCACAGTGCGAGACCCTGTTGAGCGTGTTGTCTTTCTTTCGTGACTTAAAAAGGACGGGGGAGGGCGAGAGGAGGTGGGGGATAAATATACAACCTTTCAAGAGTCTCAAAATATGACGAGATAGTTTATTGTCTTCCCGGGAGGTGAGCGAGGCAGGAGGATGCAGTTCCCACTGGGGCCTGCTGCAGACAGGCCGTCGGGCCTCCTGAGATAATGCACCGAATAGGACTGTGAAGGGAATGGTTTGGAGAAGGACAGCTTTCGTTAGCGATGTCGTTATCTATCGTTTGTTTGCTGTTCATTTGTTGGCAAAAGGTACCCATTCAGAAAAGCACAGGTAGAAAAATGCTTACTCAGCCCTCTTTATCCGTGGGTTTGGCATCCCTGGACTCAACCGAGGACAGAAAGCTTTAGAAGAAAGTACAATAAAGCAATAGTAGGATGGGTCCAGCTGGTGGCATGGTAGTTAAGGTGCTGGCCCTCCATATGGACAACTGTGGTTTGAGCCCCAGACCCGTTGGCTTGAGGAACATGCTGGGTGTATGTGTGTTCATGCCCAAAATTCCAAGAGAATAAAGGGGAAGGGATTGCAGCATGGCCATCCCCTAGGGGGTGATTTCTCATGTTCCCTCTCTTTCTCTGGCATGCCCTTCGGCAAAAAAAAGAAAAAAAAGGGAAAAAATGTCACCCAATAACAGGCTATAAAAACCATTTTTAAGGTCCAATGTAACTATATTGTATTTGGTAATATGCTTAAGTCATCCGGGACACAGCTTAAAGTGTATGGGAAATGTGTGCAGATTTTGTTTTTAATTGTTAGAGGGTGTATGTGCTTGCTGAAGAGAGGGAAAATGACAAACCCCCCTTTTGGGGGCATGACTGTACCACAATTCTTTTTTTTTTCTTTAAAAGAATTATTATATTTAACTTTATTTATGTATCCATTTATTTATTTTAACTTCCCCAGAGAAGGACAGAGTGTGAGAGAGAGAGAGAAGGAAAGTGAGAAAGCAAGCCACCAGGTCCAGGACTCGAACCACAATCAGTCCTGTGGGAGTCCAGCACCCTCAGCCACCATGCTACCTGCTGGCCCCAACCACACAATTCTTTCTCCATTTCCCCTTTTGGAATTGTGGGCGTGCATGCACACCTCTGACATGCTCCTCAAGCCGCCAAGTCCAGGACTCGAGCCATACAGTCGGCCATGTGGTATCCAGCCGCCTTAACCACCATGCCACTGGCTGGCACTTGTGCAGATTCTTGCAAATGCTAGGCCCTTGCAGGTAAGGGACTTGAGCTTCTGCAGGTTTGGGTATCCACTCTGAGGGTCCTGGTATGAATTCCCCGTGGACACTGAGGTGGGGACTGCACATTCCAACAAAACTCCCCAAGTATACATGACGACATCCTCACTGTGAAATGGGAGAACAGAGCACGCTTGTCACACGTTTTCCATAGTGTGGCCAGTGAGTGAACACTAGAGGAAGCTCTGATGGGAGTAGTCTGGTCTTTCAGTCCAGCTGCACATGGGTCGCCATGGCCGCCCACTCACAGCGATCCCCGCTCCTGGCTAGGGATCCCACTCCTTGCCTCCTCAGGAACTTCCACTCTGCAGTATCCCATCCCGGTCATCCTCATGGCATCCTCTCCGTGGGTCATTCCCTTCGGCACTGCAGCACTGTCAGAGCCACCATCTTCAAAACAGCAAAGCCATCTGCCGAGAGTGACTCCACGGCCCTTCACGGCAGCCAGCCTTCGGGGAAGACTCAGAAGCCACCTGGTTGTCATCATCTCACTCCTGATGCCCATGTACCCTCTCCTTATTGCCTGGCTTAAATCGGATCATGGTCTCTGAGGCTCATTTTCCTACGCCCAGCACCTTGGCCTCCCGCAGTGCCTCGCCAGTGGCCCTGCCTGAAATAGACTCCACCCACCTGCCTCCCAGCTCACCCAACTCAAAACCGCTGTGTGCGCGTGCTGGATGGGTGGTTCTCCTGGAGTGGGCCTAACTGGACCGTGGGCTCTCAGGGTCCCTGTGCACGCTTCAGGACCTGACTCCAATGGAAGCAGAAAGGACAGAGGATGACGCTGGGCTCTGAGCGTCTCTGGAGAAGCAGGGTGGAGACCGGGCAGAAAGAAGAGCCACACTCAGGCTACAGGGCAGGTCCCAGGAAGATGACCCACTCCGGTGCCAGACACGGGACCTGACCTTGAAAGCATTCGAGGTTCTATGACATGTCTGATCGACTCTGTGCTGTGGCTGCTGCTTCTAGAATGGGTGGGCGAGCTCGTGAGGGAAGAGGGAGTCCCCAGGTAGAAGAGGGGCTTCCACAGCGGGGAGGCAGACAGAATGGCACTGCCCAGACTCGGAATGCAGATGCCACCAGGAGGCGCTCGCATGCCTCCACCTCTCTGTCTCAGTTCTGACCAAGGCGAGTGTGACTAGCCAGGCCAGCCAGGCTTCATGGTCGCCATGGCAGGCTCCCAATCCAACCACAGCTGTGATTTCAAAAGTGCAAATCTACAAGTGTCCTGGACAGCCTTTCTAGAGTTAAAGGGAGTGAGAGTTCTAATCCTACTAGGACGGGAATGTCCGATGGAAGAGTTGTCTGCCGATCCTGAGAATTAGTGTCTGGCTTTTATTTGGGTGGCTTGGAGCCCTGATGCGTGCTGCAGCATTTTTGCAAGAAAAAAAAAAAGAAGATGACACGTGTGTGTCAAGAGGGAACTCCAGAAACTTTGTAGGACAAATAGCATTGAAGTGAGCATTTACTTCAATGCAAAAAAGAAAACTTGGCCACCAGTGCAGTTGTGTTCATCATGCACATTTTCCAGGAGCTTTCTGAAGACCCTATATATAGCTCTGAACTGATGTTAACAGGAAGACGCCGGCAATGATACGGGGAACCAGAGTTCCGTTTGATGGCCATCCCAGGCCCCCTCCCCACCCCCTCGGGGCTGCAAGGGCAGCTGCCCCTGGTGCCCCGTCCCCCTCGGGTCTTGCCCTTTCATCTTGCCAGGTCTCCACCTTGCTGCCGTTCCGTGCGTGGAGACCTCGGACAGAGGCATCTGCTGAAGGAGGTATTCAGACAGAGGCCAAGTCAGACTGGGAGCTCAGACACAAGCCCTTTATTTAGTGCCTTTCCAAGATCTCGGACCTTGCGACATTACAGCCAGCTCCCAAAAACCCTCGTGGCACCTAGGAGCGTGGAGGCATGGCCGAGTGGTTCAGGATTCCCCCTCCATCCTTCAACACACACTCTGGTTCTCCTCCATCGTAACGAGGGTCTTCAGGAAGAAGCTCTCAGGTGGCGATCGGCAGGTGAGAGCACGACCAGAAGACTAGAAAGGAAACATCCACCCCAACACCATACATCATGTGTATGGGAACCAGAAATCACCGTTGAAAACAGTGTCGGAGGAATGCGGGGTCCAGACCTCGTCACATCCCCCTCAGAGGTCTCCCTGAGTTTGGAGAGCAGCAGAGACCTCGTTGTTATTGCGGGGGACACTCGAGGTGTGGATTTCGATTGTGCTGGCGTCGGAGCCTGGAGGGGAGAGAGTAAAGACAGTGATGGTGTCTGCAGCCTGGAGGATGTTTCCTCTTTTTTAAAAAAACTGTTATAGCATGTGTGCTCAAAGAGAGGTGGGGTAGGGGGTGAAAAGTCACCCCCCAGCGAGGATGGCTATACCAGAATCCCTTGGGACTTCACACACACACATGCCTGGCATGAGTTTTAAGCTGCTGAGTCCAGGAATCGAACCTTGGTCAACTACGTGGGAGTCCAGTGTATGGGAACCAGAAATCACCGTTGAAAACAGTGTCGGAGGAATGCGGGGTCCAGACCTCGTCACATCCCCCTCAGAGGTCTCCCTGAGTTTGGAGAGCAGCAGAGACCTCGTTGTTATTGCGGGGGACACTCGAGGTGTGGATTTCGATTGTGCTGGCGTCGGAGCCTGGAGGGGAGAGAGTAAAGACAGTGATGGTGTCTGCAGCCTGGAGGATGTTTCCTCTTTTTTAAAAAAACTGTTATAGCATGTGTGCTCAAAGAGAGGTGGGGTAGGGGGTGAAAAGTCACCCCCCAGCGAGGATGGCTATACCAGAATCCCTTGGGACTTCACACACACACATGCCTGGCATGAGTTTTAAGCTGCTGAGTCCAGGAATCGAACCTTGGTCAACTACGTGGGAGTCCAGTGACGTAAACATTATGCCATCTGCTGGCCCCTGCCCTGTGTGTTTTTAAGCCTACAGGTCTGGGACTCGAACAGTGCAGTTGGCTGTGTGGGATCAAGCCACCTTCAATACCAGGCCATGGAGCCAACCCTGCAGCTTTTCTCCTGGCTCAGTCCTGCACTTCTGTCATGTTTCAATCCCAATGTTGGTCCATCCTCGAGGAGACTCCCAGGACACTCATCTGTCTGTTCTTCCCTCGTCTTCCCTGACCTGTCCTCAGAGCCCTTCTTATGGCTTGGGTGGGTTGTGTTGCTCATTTTTGTCTCTGCCACTAGACGGAGTCTCAGAGACAGGGAGTCTTGTCTATCTTGGTTGCCGTACATAGTATCCACAATGCTGAGGACGGGGAAGTGCCTCTACACCCACTGTCTACAGCACAAGCGCCAAGGAAGGCAAATGACTAAAAGAAGGACAGGAACCAGCACCTTTGTGGAAGATCCCGGGAGGACACCTGGCATAGCACGTTTGTTACATGAGAAAGAAGAGCTAGATCTGCCCAGAACTGGATGGACGCAGCCTGGGGGGACAGAGGTCTGAGTTAGTCAGACCAAGCAGAAGAGGCCCCTCTAAGGCCGGGCCAAGGAATTTAGCAGAAGGGTGGGGGGACCTGACCAAGGGCTGGACCCTGAGAAGACCTTGGATAGCCAGTGGGGATGGTGGAGGGAGCCTCTGCTTGGAGTAGAAAAGCTGCTCTCCCTAGAGACCAGGCTCCCTCTGGGAAGACTTCTAAAGGCCCCTTCCTGTTCCAGAACAGCATTCCTACTGGAGGGGCTGCTGCCACTCCACAAAGATCTGATGCTATCGGTCACCCGCTGTTTACAAGGACATCCTGGACTCATGAGAACTTGTGTGCGAGTCCCGTGGTTCTTTGCTGATATGCTTCGGGCTGGGGCGTCACATGGTGGCTTGTGACCAAGGTCTGCTCAAAGCCTCTCCTCGATGACCTCACACTTGGGACAAGCCCTGGGCCCTGTGGTTTTGGCGAGACTCTGACCCTTTCATCCTTCCCCTGGGACTCCATGCAGGAGAAGAATGTTCTTATCGTAAACTGCTGGGATGGGGCTGCCAGAGCCCAGCCCTGCCTCTGCTGAGTTAGTTAGGTGCTGGTAGCTCTGGGCTTTCCAGCTGCTTGGAAACCTGACCATGTCGCCAAGTCTGCAGCTGCAGGAAATGCAGGCACCAGTGTCCTCGAGGTGCATAAGGGCCAACGCCCTTTTTAGCACCCCCTTTAATGAACTTTGCAGGTCTGGACAGCTTCTTGGGGGGGGCCTCCCACCCCACAGAGGTCAGAGATTTGCATGCGTATTGGATGTCTCCTGCTTCCCCCTTGGTCTTGGATGCCTCAAAAACCTTAGGGCCTCGGAACTGAACCCCCCCCCCCCAAGCAGCATTGAGCAAGTGCCATGGAAAACATGATACCTGAGCTCAGCCCCACTAAGGTGTGACATTGGACCTGCCCAGCCCAACAACATGGAAGGCCCTGGGACACGCTCTCTTCCAGTCTCCTAACAGGAATTCTTGGGCCCGCCAGAGGGGAGAACTGATCTTCCAGAGCCTACATGAGACACTACCGAACACGGGCTGGTGGTGTGGAAGAGCAGAACACTGTCCCATTTCCACCAGTGTCTCAGGCTGCGCTTTGGAGGATGGGCCACTAGAAAAGTCTGCATACGCTTGGTAATGGTAAGAGGCCTGCAAGCCACATGGGGTTGGTCTCCAACAGCTTAAGAGGAAATGAATTTTGTAGGTGATGAGGTTGGCAGGGGTGGGGGTGGGGGTGTCCACACTGACATGATGGTTTACAAAGTGATCAAAAGAAAGCCTTGAAGGCAGCCCCTGAGCTCCCCAAAGTCTCCTGTTGCGAGTATGACTCACCATGTTCCATAAAGAGGGTTGACCCTCAGAGAAATTCCTGCCCTCCTACCTTCCTCAGGATGCCCATATTTATCTCTTTGGTGGTGTGAATTTGTGGAAACTAGTCCCAACCAGACGAAAGCATTCCACTCTCGCTCCTTCCCTTTCTTGTGGCTGTCAGCATGTGAATGAGTCAACCGGACTCCTCGTAAACTGAGAGAGGGGATAGAAGTGGGGTTGAGAGGAGAACCATGGCCTCTGAAAGAAGTACCCTGAGAGAATACTCATTTAGCTTTGGGAAGCTTCAGTATTAAATTCCGTAAACCCACAGGCCTCTGTTACACTCCATTATTAAAGCCTAAGTATGCACAGAGAAAAGGCATCTATTAGACTTTCACCTTTGTTGTCTTTTTTTTTGGGGGGGGTGCTTTTCTTTTCCCCCTTTTTTTAGATTTTTGTTATAGGGCACATGCACTTGCCTGAGAGACAGAACAGACACACAAAGCAAGAAATCACCCCCCACACCCAGAGGGCATGGCCATACTGCAATCCCTTCTCCATTCTCCTCTCAGGATCTTGGGCATGCAAATACATGTGCCCAGCATGAGTTTTAAGCCACCGGGTCCAGGGCTCAAACTGTGGTCAACTATGTGGGAGTCCAGTGACATAACCATTACACCATCCCCACCTTTGTTTTCTTAACCTAGATCCATGAAAACAACTGGGAGGCAATAGGTACAGGAGGATTGTGAGAGAAAAGGAAATTGTGGGAGACATAAAGGAACTGTGAAGGAGCATGGTGAGTTGTGGGAATGAGTGAGAATTCTGGGGAAAATGGAAAATTGTTGGAGAGGGAATTTGGGAGCTGTGAGGAAGCATGGTGGATTGTGAGAGAGAATGGAGAAATGTGGGAACCAAGGGGAAACTGTGGGAGACACGAGGTAATATGAGAGGAAACTGGAAAGGGAATTGTGGGACAAATATAATAGAGAAGGAGGGATTCTGGAGAGTTTGAGGAGTTGTGGGACAGGAAGGCAACTTGGGGAGAAAGTGGGAATTTGTAGAAGAGAGGGATATAATAAAGAAGAGAGAATCTCAGCAGAGACTGGACAAAACGATGAAAGGTAATGGGACAAAATGGAAATATGAGAGAGAGAAAAGGAAATCTTGAGGGAGAAGGAAGATTTATGGGAAAGAACAAAATTTTAAAGGAAAACAGTGGTTACAGAGGGAATTGTGGGAGAGACAGAACTCTGGAAGAAACAGGGTTATGGGCAAGAATAGAATTGTCAAAGACATAAAAAGGAGAATTACGAGAAACAGAATCAGGGGAGAAGGGCAGAGTGTGAAGAACAATAGAAAGGGGGAAAAAAGACCTGCAGGAGAGAACAAATTTGTGTGAGCAAAGGAAGAAAAATGGTAGGAGACAATGGAATTCTGCTGGAAAGGGGGACTGTGAGAGAAGTATGTGAAACATGGGTAATGTGGGAAAGAATTGTTGGAAAGAGCAACGATTAAGGAGATAACAGAGAATTGTGGGAGGGGCCAGCAGGTGGCATGGTGGTTAAAGGCACTGGACTCCCACATGGCTGGCCACGGCTCAAGTCCCATGGAAGAATGGAAAAGGGATTATAATGTGGCCCTCCTGGCGGCTGGGTTTCTCTCTCTCTTTCTCTCTCTCTCTCTCTCTCTCTCTCTCTCTCTCTTTCTCTGTGACTTTTTCTGTTCAAATTGAAAAAATAAAAATATGGGAACCAGCAGTTAGCATAATGGCTATGTCGCTGGACTCCCACGTAGTCGACTGTGGTTCACGTCCCGGACCCGGTGGCTTAAAACTCACACCGGGCGCGTGTGCGTGCGTGCCCAAGATCCCGAGAGGAGAATGGAGGAGAAGGGATTGCAGTGTGACCATCCCCCCCTGGGGGGTGATTTCTCGCTTTCTGTCTCTATGTTTCTCTTTGTCTGTCTGGCGAGCGCACGCACCCTATAGTGAAAAAACCTCTCCAAAAAAAAAAAAAAAAAAAAGAGAAAGAAAGAAAGAAAAGAAATATAACAAGTGGAATTAAATAAATAATTATTTATTTATTTTTTTAAATGTGGGGGAAAAAAGATTTCTGAGAAGCAGCAATTATGAAGCAGTAGGGAATGGTGGGACAAAACAATTGTGCGAAACCAGGACTGTTTTTTTATGGTAGGAGGCAGAGGGAGAATTGTGGAAAAGAAGGGAGTTGGGGAAGAAATGTCAAATTGGACTAGAAAACAGAATTTCAGAAAGAACTGTAGGAGAGATGTAGTACAGAAATAGAAGATTGCTGAAAACCAGAACGTGAACTATTTTAGAGCAAGACTGTCCAACACAAAGCATTATCATGGGCAAAGGGAAAAGTGGGGAAGGCATTGTATGGTAGGAGTAGAATTACGGGAGATAACAGACTGTGTGAAATATCCGTATTGTGGGAATGATGAGGGAGGTAGGAGAGAACAGGAACTTGGAGGAACATGGAATTGTGGGAGCAAAGGAGAACGATGGGAGAGACAAGACATTGGTGAACAGCATGGGACTGTGGGAACAACATAACTATGGAAGTGGTAGATACTTGCAAAAGAATATAGAAATGTGAAAAAAAGTTGGGAGAAAACGGGGATTGTACAGCAAGAGAATCATGGGAGAAACAAGGAATGATGCGAGTCACAGGGAATCATGGGAGAAATGGAGTTGTAGGACCAGCAGGAAATTATGGGAACGACAGGAAATCCTGACAGAAACAAGGAATTGTAGGAGAAACGCGGAATTACACAAGTGACAGGTCATGAGAGAAATGGGGAATTGTGAGAGAAGTGAAGAATTGTGGGGGTGACGAAGTCA